GATCCTATTCTAATAAGATCCAGGGGAGCTGTTTGTGTTTTTCCACAGAATGAAGAAAATCCTTTTTGGGTCCCTGAAAGACTCACCCGAATCTTGTTGGATCAAGAAAGGCATACAACCCAGCCACCCAGTAAAGATGAGTAGGCCCCTTCTGCTGATGATCCTGACAATCGAAGTCGGGCTCGTTTAAGGGGAACCACGCTGGGGAATCATGTCAACCTTCCCGCTGCCTATGCTTGTGGTGTATAATGCCCAAGTTTACCCCAGATTCTTTGTAACTAATAAAAATTTAGGCCTTGCCTATCTACCCCGAGATGAGCAGATTGAGGAGCTTATGGAAAACAGGACTATACCCCTTAAGGGAAGTCTGTGTTTTCTAGTAGAAGGAAATAATTTTAGCAGCCCCTGTATTATACTAGGAAATCTTTCTTCAGCATGGTTGAAAGAAGCCATGGTTGGTGGCAAAGCCTTTAACATCGTGGCAAATCCCACAGTACTCTATGGGTGGTGGCCACGGTCTCCCACTACTAATAAAACTTCTGCCCCACCGATTCAACCAAAATTGGCCCCGTTTTGTACTGGCCGACAAGATAAAGGATTGGCCTTGCCATGGACGGAATGCCAATCCAGAGATGCCATGTGGGCCATGGAAGGCCTGTTCTCTTTTTCTCCCAATATAGGGAGAGGATCAAATTTTACTGTCATGGACCCCAACCAAGCTAATACAAACCCTTTTGATCAGTGGTTGCTCTGTGGAGCTAATGAAAGCTATACAGACCTTTCACCCCTGGCCATGTTAAAAAGAGGCAGGGGAGAGCTAAAACAGTTAAAATATAATTGACAAGAAAATTTTGGCAAACAACTCTCATCAGGCAAGAGTTCAGGATCAGGTCGTTGGACCACCACTGATATTAAATATAAGACCTTTGCCTATGAAAATTATGCTACCACCCCTGTCTGTGTTTGGCCACCATTTATTTGGATTGTTAGCAACAAAAGCCATGTTGAAGCTAGGCTGGAATGTGGGGAGGGGGACTGTTATTACACCTTATGCTGGGATGCTGAGAGGTTCCCCATTGCGATAGTGACCCGAATGCCACGTTTTGTACCTGTTCCGGTAGAGGCCCCCAATAGCATGTCATTATCTAGACAGAGAAGAGATTTCGGGATCTCAGCCATTGTTGTGGCTATAATTGCCACCACTGCAGTTGCAGCATCAGTTACAGCCTCTGCCCTTGCTCTGTCCAGTTCAGTGCAAGCTGCACAGAGCATTAATGATCTGTCCGCCACAGTATTTCTGGCTATAGATAAGCAGACCTCCGCTAATACTCAAATACAAGGAGGCCTTATGTTGGTCAATCAACGCATTGATCTAGTACAAGAGCAGTTGGATATTTCATGGCAAATGGCACAGCTGGGGTGTGTGCAGAAGCTCCCTGGCCTATGTATTACTTCTATCCCATATAAAAATTTTACTAGAGCAGCTAATCTATTTAAGAGCCTTTCTCAGTACATTTTGCAGAATTGGACTTCTGAATTTGAGCAGACGCTCCGCGAACTGAGGACGGCCGTACTCCAGATCAACTCCACACGTCTTGATCTTTCCTTCACCGAGGGACTGTCATCTTGGATCTCTTTAGCTGTTTCCTACTTCAAGGAATGGGTGGGAGTGGGAATGTTTGGTATGGCCATCTACTGCGGACTGGTATTTCTCCTATGGATGGTCTGCAGACTCAGAACCCAAAATAAGCAAGACAAGGTAGAGTAAAAATGTTTGGTATGGCCATCTGCTGCAGACTGGTATTTCTCCTATAGATGGTCTGCAGACTCAGAACCCAAAATAAGCAAGACAAGGTGGTTATTGCGCATGCACTTGCGGCCCTGGAACATGGGGCTTCCACTGACGTGTGGTTGACCATGCTCAAGCAATAGATTGCTGACAAGACAGCTCTTGCACGCCCGGAACCTAGGTTCATTGCACTGGGCAGAGTGTCCAACACAGCACCCAAAGAGGGTTGTTGAATAAGGTATCACACAGGGGGTCATTGTCCCGCTGAGAGACATGTCGTTCCGCATAAGGGTTGCCTGCCCGAGTTTCCCTTTCCTAGAAAAATGGCAGAGGACAGGTTGGGAGTATCCTGGGCTCCAGAGTAGACCTAGGGATGACTCCCATACATGGTCTGATCAAGATTTTAACTGGGAGGTTCGACCACTGTCTCTACCCTCTCATTTTGGGAAATCTATTTGCTTCATATAAAGTAAAAAGAGGGAGATGTGGGGAGCCACCTGCCACGCATGCCCGAAGTAATTTTCCACCTTCTAGTCTCTGCCTACCTCGTGGCGTGATATGGGCTGATGAGTTTGCGACCAATCAAGAGTTGCCACGTCCAAGACGGGCTTACTAACCTATATAAGGGCTGGGTTTCTGACATTCGGGGTCTTCTCCCTGTAAGCTTATGCTCTCCCTCTCAAGATGCATTAAAGCTTTTCTGCAGAAGGATCCTGAGTGTGCCGCGTCGTTCTTGCTGGCGAGACGATAGCGTGGGACAAGTAACCGCAAAACTGGATGTTTATCTCTCATTCTGCAAAATCTCAACTCTAAATGGATCAAAGAAGTCAATATAAAACATCATATTCTGAAACTGTTAGAGTAAAAATATATGTATACACTTCAACTTATAGGCACAGATATAGATTTTCTGATTAGGAAAGTAGCACAGAAAACAAGAATCACAACGAGCATAGAGATCTCATGAAACTAAAAATTCTTTGTACAGAAAAGAAACTGGGAATGTAATGAAGAATAACACATATAATAGGAGAAAAATATTTGCCCTGCAGAGAATGTGTGTCTAGAATATACAAATAACTGAAATAGTAAAACTCAAGAAAAAAAGATAAAAACAGTCATCCTTGCGTGGATCTTCTGCATGTTGTCAGCATTGCTGTAAGTTCACAAATTTGACTTGATAGACCTCAACATATATGACAAAATGCGTGAAGATCTGTGGTGGGCTATGAGTGGTATAGATAGGGAAGGGAGTCTAAATGTGGTTAAAATGAGTGAAATCCACAAAAATTCAACAGAAATGTGTTTTTAATTAAAAAGGGCAATGGAACTGAGCAAGGAGCTCTCAAAAAAGAAATGCTAATGGCTATAAATACTTGAAAAGTGTTCAGCATCTTTTGGTGTCAGAGAAATGCAGATTAAAGCTACTTTAAGACAACATCTCACACTAGTTGAATGCAAATAACAATGAATGCTATTGTAAATGTGCAGAGAGAAGCTTTAAATATGTCACTAGGAGTATAAACCAGTACATCCACTTTGGAAATCAGTCTGGAGCTTTCTCAAAAAGCTAGAACTAGAAGTCTCATTTTGTCTATATATCTCTTCTAAACAAAAACATGACCCAAAGATTCAGAGAGAAGCATAACACTTTTATAGATATTAAAATTACTCTTTTATTGCTGAAGCAGGTGCTTACTTGTAGTTATGACATCCTGAATTCTTTTTCTAAGGCTAGCCTTCACAAGTTTTTGCTTTCCCTATTGTGATATTACAGATTAAGCTGACACTTAATCAATACTTCCTCACACACCAAAATGAATCTACAGAGCTATGGGCTTTCTCTCTTACTCACTATCTCTCTCTTTCATCACTTGTTTTACAGTCTGTATAATGGTGCCAATGCTTCTTTTGCTGTCTAGTTTGTGAAGAACACATAATGACATTTT